TGGACAGAATGTCCTAAGGAACTACCCTAAGGTTGACTGTGAGTGACTTTCTCTAAGTGTTTGAACAGCTGAGTAAATGGTCCTCTGCTTTCAAAAGGATAAGCATTTCCTCCACTTTTTAGAACTTACCAAACCAGTTACCTTGTTTTTAAAGATGTTAAGTTGGCCTTTGCCAACATGAAGCAGGCCTTGGGCCTCCAACCTCTGTTCAGGTGTGTTTGCATGGCAGAGAGTGACATATGGAGAGGGACAGGTGTGTTTACCAGACTGGGGATGGGCCTGATCATTCCAGAAAACTTCCTGATCCTGATTCTCTCTGGATTCTCCCACTGTCAACAGAAGCACACTACAGTCTACAGTTTCATGTAGGCCTACAAAGGGGAAAAATCATTTATAGACTAAACAGGGAAATTCTGATGCAGGGCAAACTTTTAGCAGTAGTAATTGAAAATATCGCTGAATAAATTCTGGAGTTTGTTTAGTAACAATGTACCACCACTGTTTTCTTCACTTTGACTCACAGTGGTGTAAAATGCTAAACTTGGGGGAGGGGGAAGGGTGGTGAGGTCTGTACAGAAAGTCTGTTGTCTCAGCAACTTTTCTCTGAACCTAAAATTATTTCAATCAAAGGTTTGCTTTTTACAAACGTTCAGTTTGGGCTGAGGAGATAGCTCTGCAGGTGAGGGCACTAGCCACGTGAGCCTGCCAACCAAAGTTCTTCTGACCTCCACATGCTCTCCTTGGCACACATGCACGCACATACCCACAATGACACATCAAACACACACAAAATAAATAAATTCTGCTTGGTAGGGCACATGCACAACTAAACATATACCCGAGGCTGTGAGCCTCAACCAACATTTCCCCCTCCCTCCCTCCCTCCCTCCCTCCCTTCCTTCGGGTGAAAAACAGCCATAGGATCCTGCTTGCTGTGATGCTGTGACCAAGCCCATATGGCTGAGCAACCATGGGCTGAAACCCTTGAAAATGAGCCACGATAAATCCTCCCTCCCTTAAATTGCTTTAGTCAGGTA